AGGGGAGCCTCGGCCGTGAGGGGAGAGCGCGGGGCTGAGGGGAGGGCGCGGGGCTGAGGGGCTCCCGGGGCTGAGGGGCTCCCGGGGCAGAGGGGAGGGCGCGGGGCTGAGGGGCTCCCGGGGCTGAGGGGCTCCCGGGGCTGAGGGGAGGGCGCGGGGCTGAGGGGCTCCCGGGGATGAGGGGCTCCCGGGGCAGAGGGGAGGGCGCGGGGCTGAGGGGCTCCCGGGGCTGAGGGGCTCCCGGCAGAGCTCCCTGAGGGGGTAAGCGCAGCACACTGGGCTTAGCCCATCTTTGGGAAGGCGGCGGCAGCGTCCCTTTATTGAAAAGGAGCGAGACCAGGGAGCAATTCAAGAAGGAGAAGAGCTTCGGTGGACAATGAATCATTCTCTTGTGCCTTTGTTACTAGCTGTGACACTGCCCCTTCCATTGATTAACTCAAATAAAAGCTTGAACTCAGCCTTTCTATCAGTACTATTTATTGCGAATGTTGAAATGGCATGTAATTTTGAACTAAGATATGAACTGATTAGATAGGTAAGTCATGTAGTTCATTGGAAGACCCTTCCGTGACAATCATATGTGTGTGTGTATATATATATATATATCAAAGCCATTCAAGTGCGAAAATACAACCTTGAAAATGAAGTAGAGAGAGTTTAGTCATTGCTGAAACATACAAGAATATGTGTATTTAGGTATTTTACACAAAGGAATTCTTGTGTACAGAAAAGAGACCTTGTTGATTATCTGATACAATCAAGTGCTTGTGAAATATAGTCTCTTACAGCAAGTATTCAATTTCTTCGTGATTTAGAGACCTTCTTTCAGCTTGGAGTGCTCTCTTTCATATTCACAACTTGAAGCAGATAGTCCATCATCTAATAAAAAAAAAGAGATATATTATTTATAGACCAGTCCTGCAAAGAGTAATTCACTAAGTTAATAAACCTAATATAAGTTAATAAGCCTAATATATAACTGCTCTGGGTATTCACATAACAAGCACATTCCTAATAATCTTTCCAAAACAGACCCCATTTGTCTTGGTTAGTGTAATAACCGACTGCCAAAGTACGAGGAAAGTCATTCTCCCAAATAATTCTGTCTGCCATCTCATTTATATACTGTCTCATCAGTGTTAAAAAGCCAAGTCATGGAAACAATTTAAAGTTTATTTTCCAACTTACTTTTACAGTTAGTCCAACTTGGAGGAGAGATTTTCCTTCTGACCCGTAACTACATTAACTTAATTTATTCACAGAATAAAGAGCAGGCAAGGTATTAACTGAAAACAAGAGAACAGTGCAGGTACACCATCCTAAGCCGACCTCCCAGAACTATTGTGCTCATCTCTTCCACTTTTTTGGCTATTTGTGTGTTGCAGCCATTATCCCTACTCTGGGTGAGTCCTTTAGTAAGAACTTTTTTATTCCTAAGAAATGTACAGCCCACTGTGAGTATCAGTGGTGACTGGTGCACTGGAGGATGTTGAGCTATTAAGCGAGGCCCTGAATTGAGTTACTGTATTTACTTCTGCAAACTTTAGCTCTGGAGATTCCTGATCTTAAACTTAAAATTCCAAATCCGCTAAATTCGAAAGTGTCCATGAAGCAAAGTTCTCACAGCCCATTTCCTCCCAGCACTGCCAGCCTTTGCTGTGCGCAGCAGGTGGGAACAGAGGCTTGCACACCCGGAGGCAGACTCCTCCTGGCTGGCACTTCTGCGAGTGCAGCCTCGGTCCCTGGGAAATGCAGCCGTCAGTGGTGCCGTGCTCTGGGCCAGCTATTCCCTCAGCTGGCAGCAGGGTTCACGATTGCCCTTCTGTTGCTCACGTTTCCACACCTCAGTCCAACAGGCCGCTGCTTCAGGGCAGAGTAACCTGCTGCAAATACGGTCTCTAGTTCCTCCTAGAACTAGTTTCTGCTCCAAACTCGCACATAATGTGGCTGGGAAAGTATTTAATGCCAAGTACAAGCTTTTTGTGTGCCCTGTGCCGTCATTCTCAGCTTACTGTCCGTGGTCATTCGCCTCCAAGGCAGGCAGCCCTGTGCACCCATCCCTTCTGTGCGAGGACACCTTTGTCAGCTGTGCTACAGCAGCACCTGTCTAACCAAAGTCAGACAGAGTTTGTACACCTGGAACCCCTCACACCCAGACAAATCTACAGAATCAAAACCCAAAGGTCATTTATGCTCTTGCATCCCTGTGCTCACGTGTGACTGAATGTCACATGTATATCAGAATTCCACCTTTATAGACAAGGCCTCTTTATAAAAAAATTAACTTTTAAATTAAAAATAATTATTATTATTTAAATGGTTAGGAAACTATCACAGCTCTCAAAAAAGTAAAGCACATTCTTTCCGATCTTCATGTTCTTTTCATCTGGAAAGATTTCAGAAACACCTTGACTTTCAGGTGCTGGGTTTTTGCTTCCTGAAGCCGAAGGAAAAGCAGTACATCGTACCCTGTCTAGCCTGTGTATCATCAGGTATTTGTGTCCAACAGCAGGAAAGCTCAGCTACTACTGCTTTCATGATCATGTTTTACTTCAGGATGGAGACAAAGTAACAGTCAAATGATGGAAATTAAAGGTTCTATGGCCTGATGAGGTTCTGAAAGTTGTCCTATGTTTTAGTCACAGGAAAAACACGACCTTTTTTACTAATAATTTCAGAGATCTGGATGTTTAAGGCAATAATCTCATTGTTCCACATACATGTTCAATGCCTGACCACAGAAATATTGATATTAATTTAGGGTCATAGTACACACCTATGGATATGATTCAACTTACTTGAGGCAACTTCCAGCCTTCATAAGCATGATTTATTGCCAGATACTTTTAGAAGCCAAAATATTTCCCTCTTTACATAGAATAATGGAATTTGTTAATCTAATTTGATTACAAAGCTGCACACTGTGGAGCTGAAGATGGAATGATTTCCTTTTTAGACAGTATCAATCACAGCTACTATAAGCATTGCTGTCATAAAGCCATAGCCAGAAAGAAGCCTATGCACAGCGTCCAAATCAGTGGTGAGAGACCTAAATCACGGCTTAATTTAACGGGTAAATTTTTACCTGCATTCAAATAAAAGCCTAAGTATTCATGGATTTCACTCAAGGATTTCAGGAGAGAGACTGGGCCGAAGTTAACCCAGGAGTATTAATCACATCATATTGCAGTAGAATATGAGAAGGAAAGAATCTTCACATTAATATCTTCAAGAGGGCGTATTAATCTTTTTATTCTCTTTCAGTGTCACCCAAAAGAATTCTGCAGCTTTATCATTATGTCTGTGCCTGAGGCATTAGAAAGAAAGGAGTCTTCTCATAAATTCTGTGATTTACATTAGACCCCAATTACTTTTTGTAAAACTTCACTGTTATTCTTCACAATGTGTTTTATAGGATATTCTAAGAGAGTAGGGGTAAATCTGTTCTACTGCCTTGTTGTCTTGTAAAATAGTGCTAATAAGAACATTAACTCGAGGGATGAGGAGGCGGGTCCCAGGCACATATTACAGCTCACCAGTAGCCACAGACTGATTTAGCAAGACCACAAATAACCGCAGTAGCAGCCAGCACCATCAGCTGGGGAAAGGCAAATGAGACAAGGGCAAAGGTGGGAGCAGAGGGAACTCCGGTGGCTTTACCCATGGACTGGCTGTTCCCCCCAAGCCAAGGAACAACATCCTGAACAGTGAGACAGGGGGATGGCAACACCTCTGCCCTCCTCCTGCCCTCACATCTGTTTGTCACACCAGCTTGGCTTTGCTGGGTAACACGGAATGGTGCTGATGTGGTCACCTCAGCATGAAGAAAAGAACGGTTCAACCAAGCAGCTTGAAGGGAACCCAGACACTAAAATCTGTTTAATGCTTGCTGATTTCATGCCCAATAACAAATTAATTCTGTAATCAAGAGCAAAGTCTTGCTGTACTGAATGTCTAGTGCATGAAACGCATTTCTGCTGCTTTTCTGGACAATCCTCAAGTTAGAGGAAGCTGATATGTTACTGTAAAACAAAAATTGAACACAGGGAGTGTCTTTGCGGGTGTTATCTTACTTACATCTTTCCAGCTGCTATTGTCATCTGTCTCCCAGGTGTTCCTGGTGTACCAGGGAAGCCCTCCTTTTAAAAAGTGAGCGCTTTTATTTTCGTTCCTTTCCAGCAGCCGTAGCAAATATTTTGAGATTTCTTCCCACTGCAGATAGTCTTCCAGCTGCTTGACATTGTCAGGTAATGCTGAAAATGGTGTTTTGTTTTCTTCTTCAAAACCATAAGGAAAATCTCCAGTGCTCTTTTTTCCCATTAAATGTCCTGTAACAACAATGACAGTAGCACAAAATTAACCAAAACGGGTAAAGATTTGATTGTTCAAATATCGGCTGGACTTTGCTACTGACTGATGGAAGGGAAGGGCAGGAGCTAGAAGATGTCAAAACTGAAGCACTACTGGGACTGCAGATTTTATCACAGTGTCGCACACAATTAATTTCTTCTGTCTCTTGTGCTGCCTTGTCAGAGAAAACGTCGCCGAGACGGGCAGCGACAACCAAGCACTTTGCTCGGGGCTACGGAGACGCACTTGGCAATATTTGCTGGAATAAGAAGCGGACTGAGAAGCTGTAGGTTTTAGACTTACCCTACCTTGACACCGGACGTGGGAACTCTGCGCTCCAGCGCCTTCCTAGGAGTCAAACCGGACTTACCCACAGCCCAGTGGCTGCCGCGGGGGTAGATCTTGGTGAGCGCGGGGGTCCCGCCGGGCTGCAGGGGCGCCGCTCCGCCCTGCGCCGCCAGCAGCGCCAGCGCCAGCAGCGGGAGCGCCCCGGGCCGCCGCGGGCCGCCCCCCATCCTGCCCTGCCGCCGCCGGGGGTGCTGCCGGTGCCGCCGGGGGTGCTGCCGGTGCCGCCGGGGGTGCTGCCGGTGCCGCCGGGGGTGCTGCCGGTGCTGCCGCCGGTGCTGCTGCTGCCGGTGGTGCCGCCCGGCTGCGGCTCCGTCCGGGCGAGGCGCTGCCGCCGCCGCCCATTTATACGGAGCCGGGACGGGCGCGAGCGGAGCTCCCGCGCTGACGCCTCCTCACGGGGCCGCGGCAGCCCCGGCCCCCGCCCGCTCCCCGCCCCGGCCGCTCCCGCGGGGGGTGCGGGCCGGCCCGGGCCCCGGGGGCTTCCCCTCGGCCGCGCTCGGAACACGGACACGGACCGCGAGTTGGTGCCCCCGCTCCGGCCGGCGGGGAGCGGGGCGGCGGGCCCGGGGCACCTCGGGGCGGCGGGACGGTGCCAACGGCAGCGGGACCGTGCGCGGGGCGGCCACGGGGACCGCACCGGGGCGGCGAGGGGACCCGGGGGCTGCGACGGGAGCGCGACAGCGGGCGAGGGACCGCGGCGGGGTCACCCTCCGCGCCGTGGGGGCCCCGGTTCGCCTGCACTTGGTGCAAAGGGTCTTACTGTCCAAACAGAAAATCTTGCGCCAAAAGTTTATTGTAGTTCCCAGTCTCAGGTAAATTTCCTGTCACAAGTGACAGTAACGGGGACACAGGCTTGCAAGACTTTCTGCTTTCCTTGGATAGGGACCTGTAAACTTTCCAGCACCCTGAGGCACCTGGAACTGGCCAACCTTGTAGTAGTTAATAGATGAAAAGGTTTCCACCCTGAAGAGGCAGTGCAGAGAAAGGATGGATGAATCATGGAAGGAGACAGTATATCCCTGTAAGAGCCATAAAGTTGAACACTTAAATACACACTCGACCTCAGGCACGTCAGTGGTTCCACTGGAGTGAAGGTGGGTGAGTAGTGATGGGATATCAGATCCTGATGTGCTGTTTGCCCCTCAGGAGAACAACAGGGACAGGATGGAGTCGTGGAATGGGCGCAGTTTATGTGATGATTTCGCTCTCTGGAGAACTATGCCAGGAGCTGGGATACACAGTGAACAGAGCTGCCTGTAAGGAACCTGCCAGATCCTCTGGCTAACCCCACATGGCTGGAACTGAACTACACCCAATGGTAGCTCCCATGGATGTGAATTAACATAATTTCCGGGCAAACTCTAGTACAATCCCTTTTGAAGTCAATTGTGTATCCTCTTGTATGAGCTAATTTGTTCCCTTGTTTAGTCACAGTTTATTGCATCTTCTTTTACTGATTAATGTGATTCATTCTTTTATTTTGGTTATTAATTATGCATTCCTGTTTAATTTACAATAGTATTCTCATGCCTCAATCACGAGTTTTGCTGTGCAGTACAGCTACAGACATGTGCTCTGTGCTGAGTGACAGCTGATCAAATAAAATATCGCTGTCCATGGGAAGTTCTAATTGTTTGGCGCAATTCAAGGCAGGAAATCCAAAAATTCAGGAGACTGTCCATTTTCAGAAACCAAAACCAAACCCAAGCAAACATGAATTCTTACTCAGTTCCTTATTGCCCAGTAGTGCCAAGTCTCTTTTACTGCAAACACTATACAAACAAATAAACCTTCCTCATGTTGTGTATGTGCCTTCATACATTTCATGTGTTACAGGCTATGCCTTCACATTCATTCTCATTTTGCACTGCTTTGAGCTCCTTTCATTAGTAGAGGCTGTCAAGGCTCCATGGTTTGGACCCCTCAAAGGCTGATGAATGCCTGGTCTGTGATCATCAGGTTACCTGGGCGCTGGGCAGTCATGTCTGGACAGGCAGGACAGCAGGGATGTGCCCAAAGAACGTGCTTTCTCCTTGGACTGGGTACCTCTCCCTCAGCCCAGCTGGGGATCTAGCCCACTCTCTGATTCAGCATTTCTTTACTTACTTGTTCATAAGGATTAAAAAAAACGTAATATGGATTTATTCTAATTATTATTTTTATTAATCTTTTCAGAAAAATAATAATTTGATAAGATAGAGAAATAGTATTCTGGACACTCCGCAACAGAAAAGGATTCAGGTACAATAAAAGGATGTTATCAGCTGAGACTGATTCACTCATTTGAGACAATCTTTCTTAAAAAAGAAGCCTGATAACACAAATTTGTGTTTGAACATCAAGAAACAGCTCTCTCCATTTTGAAATACCTTTCTGCTTTTCATACATCCCACAGCAAAGCGAACTGTTGTGCTCCAAGGCAGGAAAACACTAATGGTGTTTAAATGCTATTACCACAACAGCACTTTAATTTGCTTCCTTTACATTTCAGACAACTTATCACTGTTCTATCAGCAAGGCAGATTCTATGGAAATGAAAAGGGCTAAAAGAAAAATGGTGTGCCTTTCATCGCCTCCTTTGTAGCGATGCTGGAGTCAGACACAGTCAGGATGTATGGACAGAACAAACACTGGTTTGAGCGTATCAGCCACGTAATAACAGGGCACAGTCACTGAGGAATACTCTGTAAATGTTGAAGATGCTGAATAGACTAATCTCCAGCACTTCCAACCCGCACCCAGGGCAGGTGTTCTGCAAACAACCTGAAAATCAACTCACTGCAGCAACAGCTCCCTGAAGAACTGAAGACATTTTTCAGAAAAGAGCTCCACAGCTTTACAGAGGCTGAATAATATGAAATAATAAACATTTATTTAATAAGGCCCAGTGTAAGACAGTTGATACTGTTTGTGCTGCATTTTGGGAAGCCCTAGACAGTTGAAGCTGAACCAAAGGGGTTGCTCGGTGGATATTTAATGTGTGCCAGTGTGCTGCATCAGCCAGCCCAGTCTGGGTTTTACAATTTCTGTGGTGGAGGGGTTCAATAACTGGAGAATTAAAATGGGAAGTGTTTATGGACATGCCTGTGGAGCAGAACAGCCTAGAGAGACCATCAGCCCCACTGCCTGACCCCCTCCAGGCTGACCAAAAGTTCCAGGGCATTGTCCAAACGCCCCCAGAACACTGACCAGGGCATCAGCCTCCTCTCCAGGGAGCCCGTTCCAGTCTGACCACCCTCCCAGGAAGGAAATGCTCCCTAAGGTGCAGTCTGACCCTCCCCTGGCACAGGGGGCCTGTCCTGGATTCCCGTGCTTCATTTGCCACTCTCCCAGTCAGAGCTGACTGTGCTCGCACTGGGGCAGGTGGACAGAATAAATTCCTATTTCAGCAATACCAGGGGAAAAAAAAATCTTACTATACATTCACTGTCCCAAAAATTACATTATTTTTTCTTAACTGTGATGATACACTTCCAGGGAGACTGTATTAAGGATACCTACATTATTCTGACATGCCATTTACTATACTCAATTTTATTTCTACACAATTTGACACAAAAAAAGTAATTTTTATAATACAGTTGGACATGAAAACTGCTTAGTGGGATACAAAAGAAGTAATATTACTTGAAAAAATTCAGCAGTTGTCTGCTGAGCATGAGCTGTTACAACAGAAAAGGTGCCATTATTGTATAATAGAGTATTTTTGTAGAGATAAGGGATTACAGAAGAAACAAAACTCCAGAGGAAAAGAGCATCACGCTGTTCCTTATCAAAGCTACAAAAACAAAGCCAGGGAGGAAAACAAGTTCTGCTTTGTTGAAGGTACAACACCGACAACTGAAGAGAAGAGAAAAATAAAGAATTTCACAAAACGACAGTTTCAGGTAGATTTTTAAATGAAAAATCAATTTTATTTTAATTTTATTTATTTAACACTATTCAGGTGTTACATGATAGGAGAGAATAACGTGTTCTCCAAACTGGCACAGGAGTTATGGTTTACCCTTACTGCCAATACCCCTGGAGTGTACTACTGTGCTATTCGTTCAGTGCTATTAAAGCCCCATAAAACCTTTTGGTTGGGTTTGTTTAACACCTAGGAACACAAAAGGCATAATGGTCAACAGCCTGAATTCTAGAAACTTACACAGTCCCTAAATAACAGGCCTCTAGAAATCAGGCCATCAGGGTTTCTGTCCCTACTCCACGAAGAAGGTTTGAAATTCAGGGGAAGAGCTCCAAGTCCCCGTTGCTCAGTTCCTAACGGGAGTGAAAGCCCCTTCCTTGGCTGTTTTTGTCACCACATCCAGCCAACCTTCCTTAGTCTGACCAAACCCCTACAACTGTTCTGACCCAGATGCCACGTCCTCACAGGCACTGATAAATCCAGTGTGGGTGGTGGAGAAAAGAGGGCACTGACAGATTAAAAACAATCAAGGAAAAAGCCCCAAACAAAAAGGATGGAGAGAAAGTGGGTTCAGATGCAGGACCATTCAAGAAAAAATGACCGGGCACACCAGGGAGAGCCCGTGGCTGCTTTAGAACATGACAGTGTCTTCCAGCCCAGGGCCAGGCTGACTGAGAGCAGTGTCTGTTGAAGGCAGGAAATATGCCATTTCATAATTAACCAACAGCCAACAGCTTCACTCATTAGTCCTAGTTTATTTAGACAAGACAAAAGCTTGCACAGCTTTGGAACTGTTTACAGAAACGGAACCATCTGAAATATATATTAGTTTTTTTCCCCTGTACATTTAGCTTTGTCCTTGGAAAGCTGCCTGATTTTAGGACTCCCGTTTCAGCAGTACATAGGCTCCCATCACTGCCAGGAGAGCATACTGCAAAAAACCAGAGAACACACACTCGTTACACGTGCTCTTCACAGAGGCTCCGAAAGCACAAACTGTTCAAAGTGCGCCCTCTCCAACACCACACCTCCTTCACAGCCCACAGGTACAGAGCTCCAGTCCTCCAAAACTGCACGAGTATTTCAAAGGGATCAAATTCATCACAAACGGGTGTCACAACTGTGTGCACTTAACGAACCAACCTCTTACAAACGACGTGTTTTCAGCCCATCACAACCACCAAGTTCTAGTGTGTGACAGACAGGCTAAAGCACACATGGAAACACAGCTCATGGGACATTAGGGACCAAAGCACAGAAACAAATTTATTAACGAGGATGCTTAGAGGCAACATTCTTATTGCCTTTACTTGTTATTTTACCAATGCAAGTATTCAAAATGTCTGTGTACATACCTTAAATTTTGGATAGTCATTCATGATTATGGTTACCATTCCAACATAGGGCAAAAACCTAGAATTGACAAAACATTGACAAAATGTAAAATGAGCCCTCAAATATTACATGGAAATGTTTCAGTGTTAGTCAGCCTGGAATATTTCAGTGTAAGCCCATCATTTAAGTAAGTCCCACCTGGGACTAATGCATACCTGAACAGGAAATGAAATTCATTAGTTTTCCTTAGGTAAAACTTCAATCAAGTTATCTCTAAAAAATCTGAAGAAATTTTATCTCAAGTGAGGAAGGAGACAAAGTCCAAAGCTCAAACCTTGCATAAAATTCCTGTGGAATGCTGAAACAACTTCCCAGGAATTTCCAGAGATTACAAAGATAAGTTGGTTAATTTTGTATTTATAGAAGAACTATTTGTTAGATGTCACTTTTTCCCCCCCAGATAGTAATTTCCACTCCCATATCAGGGAGAGGACTACAGGAAGGAACGTTTCCAGTGTGGGTTTTTTTTTTTAATTACATTTTTTTTAAGAAATTAAAAAAATACCACATCAGATCTAGTTCGTATTACGTTGGAACTGATTCAATAAGTAAATTTTTTTTCTATTTGATTATAAAGTACATTTTAAATCACTTACCCTCTTGCTCTTCCAACAACATCTTTCTTCTCTAACCAGTTCTGACCTTCTTTGTACAAGCCTCTATCATCAACTTCGTTATTATCACCTTTAGTCAGAAATTTGATGTTCCCATTTCCTCTAGAAGGCAATGAGGTGATAAACTAAATACCACTTAATTTAAAAACCTCAATTAACATCTACAAAGCACAATGAGGATGAAAAGTACTACAAGATTAGATAACAGTGTTTGCTTTCAGTCCTGCTTATTGAACAAACACCATTAAACCATTGACATTACAGATTTTATTGACTATATCTATCAAGAGGTATTAACAAGAAATGGTGTTAAAACACTCCCAGATTGTCATTTGATGTAAGCAGTTACACAGTGGATATGAAAGGGATGTTGTCCACCCAGGCACATAACCTGGTTTTGCTGAAGTAATAATATCAAGAAACAAGGAGTTCGCATGATGATAAATTAGGTAATAAATAGATAAAATAGGCAATTCTTGGATATACATATTTGTTTCAAAAAATAACTGAAGAACAGATGTTACTCAAGAAATAAACACCTTCAGTTCACTTCCTGAGGAGCAAATATGCCAGTGCTTGCCATCTCCAGCTTAGCTTTTCACTGTGCAGAACTAGAAGCAAAATTGCCTCTGTTGTGCTTCAGAAGGAACAGTTTATCATTGCAGGCATATGCAATAAAGGCAAACCCCAGAACTCTCTCTGCTGCTTTCCAGCCTGAATTGTTGCTGGCAGTGTGACTAGCAGACACAAGAAGAATAAGAATCTATTCTTTTATTCTAGTTAAATCTGGAAAACTTCAGTTAGCTAAGATTATATACTCATCAGGCTGCACCTCCAGTTCTGACTCTGAATCCTCACCTTCCTTCAGAGACCTGCTCTTAGAAGCAGCTGTTTCTCACAACCAAAACCCCACTTCTACAACCACCAGTACAGAAGTGGGCTCTGCTGCCAACAGCAACTCCTATGGCTTGTGCCACAGGGTTCCTCTGAACTTCCTCTTAGTTTCTCATAAACTACTGTCAAACCTATACTGCAACTGAAAATCCCAGGGAAAGAAAGTATCTTTAGAAACAAGGAAAAGGACAAGTTGCATTACTTTTCGTGTACTTTGATTACTCTGTGAACTATTGGAATGTCTCTGCCTTCAACTTTAAAAACAACTATTTCACCAGCTCTGATTGGGTCATCGTGGAAATTCGTTAGGAACAGCAGGTCTCCCCTGTGAAAAGCTGGTTCCATGCTGCCACTACAAACAACAAGAAAGAAAGAGTTTATTGGTATTATGGTAAACGAAAGAAGAACCATGAAATCAAAGAACATTTAGTTCTTACAGATAAACTCACAATTTAAACTGAAATCTGTAGCTTCACCAATTCAGTAACACAGTCATGTAACACAACCCAAGTCCCAGTAAGCAATCTGCAGTAGTTTATCCATCCAGTGAAGGAACTTGGACATTTCAAAGATCTCACACAGTTACTGCTCCTACAAACCTCAGCTGAAACTGGGCCATGGTTACAGCAGGGGCCT